CGGCGCGGCAAAAAATTCGCCGCGCGTCGCTGTCGCGCGAGGATGCACGTCGATTCGAAGGCACCGTTTACAAAACTATCGGCCAACCGTCAGGAGCATCTGGGCGATGATGGTCGCCCACCCCATGTAATCGAAGAGGCCGCTCGGATGTGTAAATACGTGTTCCGCCGATGACACGACTTTGGCACCGAAAATCCGTCGCTTCTCGGTTCTTGCATGACGATGGCCGCACAAATTACAACCACAACAACAACAACCTCGTGAGGTGGATGAGGAAGTGGCATGGCATCGACGAGTGACTGTAGCAATCAAGCCAAGCGATGTTCTGCTCGCCTCGTTAATGAGGATGAGGGGGCGGAGTCAGTGAGATCGACTAAAGGACGGTTTCCACAGTGACTCATAGGCTGTTTATTGTTGCAAGGTTCGTTTTTGACTGACTCACACAACCGTGTAAACAAATCTCGAATGTGCGATTGATGATCCGAGTCAAGTGCTGCCGGGCTTCTGCCTGGCCTGGATACAGTGCGCTTCTTTAAACGTAATCTTCGTCATACCCGCTGTACAGGAGAAATCCTCTGGGCCGTACTCATAGCAATCAAGTGGACGACCTCGTAGTCAGCTACAGTGGGAACGCAGGACCGTTTGACTCTTTTCAGGAAGAGTTCACGATCCAGTTATTGAATTTTCAGAATGATTTATGGCTGTGATACCGAGCACAAGAATGAAATGCTCTCTTCGCTTTTTCAGACCCAATATAGCAATTCAGAGTGCAGTTTCCTTATTAATCAGAATGCTGAATAATCTGGCGTCCAACTGTGGTAAACGGCTGTCCCAATTTTCTAAGATTCGAAAAAGCGAATCTCGGCCAGATATGGAGTCACAACCCCCATACCTGGTTCCCTGCATGGCGAAATGAAGCTCAGACGAAGTATTCGAGTACTACACACCTGGGCTCTTGGCCATTCATTCCTTGCACTACTCTAAACCAAGACGAGTCGAGAACGGGTGGTTCTAGCAAATGAGAATGATTTTTGCGTGGTACTCACAAGAGGAACAAGATGAGGAGAGTACAATTTTCAGTGCCTGATAATCATCAAGCTTCGTTTTTAGGTAGCTCGTTTGATAGTTATTTAAATTGGCCAAGTGGTTGAGGGCTCGTTCAAATTTCGCCCTGCAACAACAGGATCAATAATTTCGATTACGGAACGATACATCACTTCGCGCCATCCATTGTAATTTTCGCGGCACGAATGATTGAGTCAGTTTCCTGACATTGGCTTCGAGGCTTTGCTTCAGGTTTGAGCCAGAAGTAGAATCTTGTAGTGTTTGATTCTTTCGCCCTCCTCTTTTTCTGCTCGCCTCTGTTCATGGGAAAGACAGAACGAGAAAAAAATTTCTGAGAGTGTCGAAACGCCTAAGAAGTCGTTTGCATGCCTTTAAGTACTTATCGAGATTCATAGCAGTCGTATGCCGGCATCATCTCGTTGTCTTTCATGTCAAAAGACTTTCAACAAAACAATTTGATTCAGCTGCTTTAGAGTGAGGCTGGTTTCCTTGAGAAATGAAATCAGAAAAGCTGTTACCTCCTGCTCGAAGAGGCAGGGCATGAGTGTTAGATTTGCACAGCACCCTTGCCCTTGGATCTTCAAGTTACTACCCTTAAGCCTGCATAATTGTTGCATTTTTTTCCATTTTGCATCGTAATTTCTATACACTACTGAATTTTACAATCATGCGCATCACTACTTCAAAAGTCGTCATATTCCGATCAAAGGAAACGCGGTATAGCAATAAAATTCATGATGATTTTTTTTGCGGATTAATATAGACGACGAACCGCGATGTTTCCTTACGAGTCTACGGTTGGGCTATCATCCTCTTGGGTTGATCTGCACCAAGATGCATAGGAGGTACTGTAAGCGCCATTAACAGATCTTCAGTTGCGGATCATTCAGAACCTCAAGACCGGTATTCACGACTATCTTATACACTCTCAAAGGAACATGCCTGAGCATACCTCGTCGTGCCATATGATTCCGTACACTGATAGTTGATCGTTTAGTTGACAAGGACAACGTAGATCGTCTGCAGCAGTTTCACAGATATCACAACTGCGTGTAAAGTCGCATTTGGCTAATTATGTTATATAAACCTGAAATCTATTTCAAGTAGCTCCATGCATTTGTTTCGCCTTTGTTCCCCCACATAAACAATGTAGCTGATATTACAGCTTCACACTTGGGTGTCACCCGGCATTGCAAAATCGTTGCAATTAAAATTTTGTTGCCAAAAGTGCAAGCCGAACAAAGAATTTGAAAAACCTTTTGTCATATGAATGTTTTACTTAAAATTATTTCCGTACATGTGATGAATTTGGCAAGTGAAAAGTGTCATGTCATTGACGAGGCATGCATTGATGAGGTAGAAAAAGGACGAAAAGAAAATTAATTCAGTGTAATTAACACGACGCTATTTTTGCTGTTCTGTTAATATGGTTTTTCAATTTTTGTTTTCATTGTTGATTGTTTTGGTTGGACACTTTCCATCTTCATTATTAACTAATTAGAAATGAGAAGCAAATTTGGCCCCATTTTTATTCGTTACTGCTCTGTATATTTTTGTACCGACTTCTAAATTTTTAACTAGTCTTTCTGTAGATATATTTGAACCACCCATAAAAGTACCTCGCGTTTAGCAGAGTAATCAAAAATCTCATTTAATAAGATGTGCGGAAAAAGTCATAGATTTCTTTATGGTAGACTAAACAGGTTTAACTGAAAAGTCTAAAGCTAGAAGTCCTACAATGATGACTTCTACCGTCGACGGTGCTGAGCTGATGCGAAAGTCAGAACTGACGGTGAGAAGAATTTTAATTAAATTCGCTTGGAAATGCAGAGTCAGACAAGCCAATCTTAGATATGGATTAAAAGGCTAAGGAGCATAAGAAATAATAGCCAACCAGATAGAATTTAACCTCTCTGATTGGCCAACTACAATGGACAACCGAAGGCACGCGAAATTGGGTGGGAGTTTCAGGATAAATTCAATCCCCAAGCTGTTAAGACTCTGATCACGAATACAGTTTCTCCTACTATACTGTATCAGCAATTCACAAGTAGAAGTTTGGCAAACGGTCCTATTTTTCCCTAAGCACATTAGTGACAGCATTCCGTGGATTTCAGGGTTGTTGTAGGATCATGACTTCTTGAAAATTTTATTAATTAATCCTACAAGACCTTAGTTTCCATTCCTGCCGTGTCTGACTAAAGTTGTCCCTTTAAACGAATAGCGGGATCCTTGAGAGTGTCACACGACCAATTGGTCAACTACCATGTACGACAAACGAGGCAAACGGTGAACCAACCTCATTGTCTCGAGTTTGAATGTGGATGTTGTTAACGTACCCAAAAGCCGTTGCATCATCGTAATACTGAGGTACGCAAACCATTTGCATGTTGTCTTCGGGTGCTGGTTCCAACGTCTTAATAAAATGATAGTCTGACCATCAGCACAATTAATACGAGCATATGAACAAATTACGCAAAAACTCCTAATTATAGAAACGACGAATTAATTAAACAAGGTAAAAGAAGAATCGTTACTGAAACACGTGATGAGAATCGAAGTCTCCCTCCACGTTTGTGCCTCAATGACATACGGCTCCTAAGCCAGATGGTACGGAAGAGAAACCACGGAGTAGTAGGCTCTGCCAGAGCGAACTGAGAATAATTTCGAGCAGACCAGGCCTCGCAAAACCGTCATATGGAATCCGATTCAGCCGGGATGAGAAGCAAACGCAGCTTTGTTCCCAGCAAAAAGCCTGGCAAGTATGGATAGTAACCCAAACTATTTGCCTAATCGAATGGCTGAAAAGCACAACAAAAACGGTCGCTGATCTCCCGCGTTCAGCTCCAGTTGGACTCCGTGACTATATCGCACGACTGACGGATAACCGATGGACTTCGACAGCGTCGGAAGGGTCTGCAGCCATGCAATTGGAAGACCTTGCTTCCAGTAGCACGATGAGCTAATACAGCAACAGAAAAAGCTGCGGGCATCGACACTAGGCAATGGAATCGACGTTAATTACGAAGAAGGATGAGTAAATTGTGGCCGGTTAACATTCGGCTACATATCGTAGAATAAAAACAAATCAAGCAATTGAAATCATTGACATATTATTCCAATAATGTAATATGATAATTTACAGCGAAAGTGGAAAAATTAGCAGGCGAATTTATAGAGATTCATTATATGAACTTTTTGAACACAAATTCTGAAATTTCCATTAGTATATTACATGAGGGAGAGAATGGAATAATTCTTTCCTGCGTTGATGTTCATACGGTCAAAATAGCGTAAAGCACGAATTACTGATACACGGATCAGTCTCTGTTTTTGCTCCTGTCGCCCAAAAACTATTTAACCAGCGTCCCGGACCGAAAGCTCGCCTTCTGGCTCCAAAACTATCGATTGATGCGGACGATCAACAACAGAACGAAAGTTGACCAACAACTTACCTTGAACGAGGCTGGTGAGGTACGGACCGAAACGCCAGGATTGGTCAGCCACCGGACTGACCACAGTATCTTTTGCGTTGTGTATAAGTAAGACGTGTTTTTTACGCTATTTTTTCCAGCATGAGGGATAACAGTGAAAATATATTTTGCAGCTATTGGTTGACGCATGTGTTGCTCTCCATGAATATAAACATTGAAAGAACACAATCACCGATGAAGTGCAGTTTTCAACATAAACACTGAGGTAAATCTGACTAATGATGTCGACATGTACGACTACCAAAGCGTCGATACTTACGAAAAACTTTACTGCTACGTTCGGCGGATCCAGTTAGATGTCTAAGGAACAATTTACTTGGATAGTCGGCTCAAGATATCATTCAAATATATTCAACGAACAGCATTGTTTAAGCGTACTTCTTTCAGCGAGCAAGAAAGCTTATGGCTCCTAAAGAATTC